TCGCCAGGAAGGCGTGCGGGGCCCGGCACACAGGTGGCCACAAAAGACGGGTCTTCCCTAGGGGAAACCTGCCGGCCTGGCCGGCTTGTGGGGTGGGATTGTACAGGGCCCGTGCTGGGTATGGGGCAAGAGGCGCAGCGAAGGGGAGCTCCTGCCTTGGAACGACATGGAGCCGAAGCTGTGCCTTGTGCACAATAGCAGCAGGAAGAGAAGGGAAGGGGTGGGAAAGGGAACGGCGGTGATACTGATACAAACCCCGTGCAGCCAGGCGGTTCTGGGGCCCGGATCCCGCTGCAAGCGCCAGAGGAGCAGGGCCCTGCAGTGCACAGAGGCATGTGCGAACCTCAGGGACCCTTGGACACACAAGGGCGTTCCTGTAGCCAAACCACAGAGGGTTTGTTTGTTTTTTCTCCCTCATAAATTAGAGGTTTTGGCCACCGCAACCAAAGCAGGAAAAAAAAAAGAAAAAAGGAATAAAGTTTAATCATCCTCCCCGTCGGGGAATCGAACCCCGGTCTCCCGCGTGACAGGCGGGGATACTCACCACTATACTAACGAGGATGGACTCATGATGATCATCCCTGGAGGGCGGCCCCTAGGAGCGCCGCGCGGGTCCCGGGACACAGGGACCCGCCCGCCGGGAAGCGCCAACCGCAGCGTCACCGCGGGACGGACTCGGATCCCCGCTCGTCTGGGAATCAAAAAACCGTAGTCGCCATGAGGGAAGAAAAAGCAAAAAAGAACCACCCTATTGCCGAAACCCGGGATCGAACCAGGGACCTTTAGATCTTCAGTCTAACGCTCTCCCAACTGAGCTATTTCGGCGGGCATGAAGGCCTTTCTTGGCCCCAGCTACCACGGCCCGTACCCCGGGCGCCCCCAAATGCGGCTGCGGGTGCCCGTTACCTGCCCCCAAATGCGGCTGCGTGTGCCCGTTACCTGCTGCAGGAAAAACCTCCACAGACATTTCCTCAACTTTAACAACTTTGCGTCGGCGCAAAACACACAATTCTGCAGCATTTCAGCATCCAGCGGCCAGCCTTGCCTAGCAGATCCCTGGGGACACGGGAGAGGAGCCGGTTCCTCACCCTGATG